CCATTATATGAAAATCCCCCATTCCTACCAGTACTCTAAAGCAATCTATTTTATTTCTTAGACTTCTAGCATTACAATAGTAACAGTTAAGCCTATCCTTATAACTACTTCTATACTATGCTAAACTATTCTCTGCCTCTTTTTTTTTGTATTTAGTTTTCCTAGCCCTCACCACTGTCTAGTCCTAGTTTAAAACTTTAATTACAGCTGAGTTAATAGCCTTAGCAAACAAGGCAGACCCTACTCTAATTAAATGTAAACCATCCATTCTAAAAAGCTCCCCTCTTCCACTGAACCGATCCCACAAGTCCAACCAGCCCATCTGCTAATCCTTACCTATTAAGCTAAGCCCTAGCATTTAGCCCTAGTAACCTACTTATAACTTCATCCCCACAGTTAATTCTGGGCAGTATCCCTGACAAAATTAACTTATGGCCTTTTTCTTTAAGTGCCTTTATCAACCCCTTATAATTATTAATTAGCTCCTCTGACCTACCTTTCCTTACATCATTAGTCCCTACATGCACCACAAAAACTCCATCTCTGCTGGCTCCCTTTATTATATATTCTGCTCTGTTTGTTATATCCTTCACCTGTGTCTCTGGATAGCATAACCTGATTCTTTTCTCCCTATTTACCCCACAGACTATTCTATCCATATGCCTTGTCATGGAATCACTTATAAGTATAATTTCTCATGGTTATTTGAGTATTCACAAATGCTGTTTTCACAAGCCTAACACCAGTCACTCATATATTAGAATTCTCTTTTTGTTACTTTTGAAAATATTTCAATGTAGATGTTACTTGTAATCATATTGCATTTGATATATGACCAGTATCTGTTTAAAATGTCTTAATATTTGAAATTTAAATGCAAAATTTAACATTTTGCTCACTTTTCCGAGGAAGTTGGTTAGGACACTCAACTCACAACCTGCAGGTTTGAATCCACATTAATGAACATGCTTGCTCTTTCAGCTGTGTTGGTGCTATAACGTGATGGTCAATTATGCTGTTCATTGGTAAAAGAGTAGTCCAAGAGTTGGGAGTGGGTGGTATTGAGTAGCTGCTTTCCTTCTAGTCTATCACGGCTAAATTAGGGATGACTAGCACAGATAGCCCTTGAGTGGCTTTTTGTGAAATTCAGGAAAGTAAACAAACATTTTTCAAAGATATGTGAACAGGTGCAAAATAATTGGCTACTCAATTCATAAATTTGCTTGAAAGAAACCCTCTTTTTGCATTCTCTCAGTAATTATGGATCCTCATCAGTTTTCATTTTCTTATAAGTTAAACTATTAATAAATTTCTATAATATCTATGTTCAGCAGGAACTTTGTTTGCAATATGCCTGTCAACTCTAACTTGTTTTTAACACGTCTTTTTTTCCTGTTGTAAAGCATAATTTTTCTTGCATCTATTCATTTCTCATCATCAGTTTCACCACCTAGAGTTTCAAGAATGATATAGTTTGTGCAGGACTCTTGATCACCATAAAAAGGATTGCTTTACAGTTGCATGCTGCTGTTAATGGCTGTTTGTACTCAAAATATATACATCAGAAATGACACATTCCATTGCATGACCTGACTAAGTCATTCTATTAGCTCTGTTGCAGCTGGTAGCTGTCCTATTAACTTTGGTTTTATTTGACTGTTTACTACTTCCCACCTATAATTGGTAGAATTGGGAAGCTCACAAACTCCAGTTGTTGCATTCTTTCACGTTGTTGGCTGATAAGTGCACCTAAGTTGTCTTCTGTTGCAGGAAACTTTTTTTGGAGGTACCTTTTTCATGTCTATGGCCATTTCACAGCATTGTACACTGAGGGAAGTGCACTCCATTTCAAAGCATAGTACATTGAGAGAAGTACACTCAATTTCACAGTATAGTACATTGGGGGAAGTACACTCAATTTCACAGTATAGTACATTGGGGGAAGTACACTCCATTTCACAACATAGGATATTGAGGGAAGTACACTTCTGCTTTCCTTGGATAAAACTGAAAGTGACCTGAATACATAGAGATGTACTTGTCAGTCGTGTGCTTCTAAACAAAGTGTGACATGTGAATGGAGCACAGACTGATATCTTAGCCTCTAATATCAATTGATTTTTATGTCTTTCCACTGCAAATCAAAGGCACATTCAGGTCACACAACCCTTGTCAAGTAACTTGGTATTGATTATAATATGTCATACCATGAGGATATTAACTTGGTATTGATTATAAAGTGTCATACCATGAGGACATTATGCTTTTATGATAATGAACATCCCACTATAATTTGAGAGAAGTTTGTTTGTCCTTAAACTCCTCCTAGACTTTTGCATTTGGACCTGACAAATATAGTTCAATTAACTGGGAATGATTCAGAAGATGATTCTTTTATAATGCATAGATTTCATAGCTCCAGTGATGGCTAAATATAGGTCAGTCAGTGGGGGTGGCCACTAGGGTTACTGATGAGATTTTTCCAATTTCCTCTCTCCTTACATAGGATATACATACAGTCTATGTACATTCAATCATTACTGGCATATTTAGGACAAAAACATAAAACAATTTATATTCGTAATTGGTAAAAAATTAATTCTCCAGTTGCATTTTGTTATCAAATCCTATCAGTCATTTGAGGGGTTTCTTTTTCATGCATTGTTTATACATACTTTCAAGATGGTTACACTTATATTAATGAGATGTTTTTAAGTCATTTATTACTTACTGCTTTTTGATAACGAAACTAAAATAGAAAATTTAACTTTCATAAACCTCTCACCATGCACTGTACAAGTACATCTACTAGTAAATTAAATACACAAGTGGTTAAGCATAATTTATATAGTAGCACTTAAAACATGAATAAACATTTAACATGACTTTTTTTACATTTGTATTTTGAAAATTCATACCTGATATTGAGTGTTATTTGAACCAGTGTTTTCAGCAAATTTCATCAGCATCATTTCTTTACGGAAGTTTAATTTCCCAGAATACTGGTATTTTAAAATGATAAATGATTCAAAGTGTGAATTTTTGGGTGCATGCTAGTCCTTAAATATGAGAGTTGTTTTATACCTGTAAAGAATATTTTTCATATATACAGCTTTATCTTAATTTCTTCTGTTTCATTGTTTTTAAATTTCATCTGAAAAACTAAAATCAAAGTGTTACCTATATATTTGTTCCAAGTTCCAAAAGAAAGCATTGTGCATAATATCCACTTTTGAATAAAGATATGTTAAATACTTAGTGTTTGCTTATTAAATGGCCATCTGAAATATTTATCATTTAAACATTTCAGTATGCTTCTTAGTCTTGAAATTCCCTCCAAACAATAGTGTTTGTATTCAAGGCACACTATTAAGTTGGTTCCCTTCTTTATCACATGAATGATCCAAATTATAATAACAAAAATGTATTATCATGCACTTACTGTAATTTAAGGTCACTTGCCAAATGTTTGTTCAACTTACCAATTAATATAAGTCATTTTGGAAAACGAGACTATTTGGCCCTCCAAGGCTATCCTTGCACATCTATCACCCTGAGAAAAAGAAAAGTAAAAATTTAAACCCACCCTTAACTTTTCAGGATTTCATCAATTTCCATCATAAACTCCTTGAAAGTGCTGGCCTCCACTGCTGCTGATGGTAACTGAAGTTTTGCCTGTCTTTTCAAAATCTTAAGTTTGTTCTTTCATTCTGTTATGTTCACAATGTAGTAATAAAAGAAATTGGAGATTTTTATGCCATCAATTACTTGGATAATCTTATAGGCTTCAATAAGAACTTCTTATCCTTTTTTTCTCAAGAAAAAATAAGTTGGGATCTTAATCTATTATGTCAAGATAACCTTTCATTCCTGGAGTCATCCTAGTAGTCCTCTTACTGAATCCTTTCTAGTAAGTCAACATTCTTTGTAAGGTAAGGGGACCAAAACTGTACTTAATATTCCAAGTAAAGCCTAACTAATGATTTGTTTAGAGGTAAATACTTATCTTGACTTCCAAATAGTATGTCTATAAATATACCCTAAAATTCTTTTAGCTTTACTTCTAGCAACAGAGTACTACTGCTTTGATGGCTTGAATGACTTGTCCACCATTTATGTTTTCTTCAGTCACAATATTAAGTGGGTCCCTATCTATATTAAATGTATTATCCAAATTATAATAACCAAAATGTGTTATCATGCACTTTCTGTAATTTAAGGTAATTTACCAAATATTTGTTTAGCTTACCAATTGATCCAAGTCATTTTATAGTTCCTCAACAACCTCAATTTATATAGAAAGTTTAATATTATCATAAAATTACTTATTTGCTAATTATGCCCCCATCAATACCATTAATGATAATAAGATAAAATACAGGCTCAAGCACAGACTTCTGAGGCACTCCCCCAGCAACAAGGGTTCAGTTTGACTGGACCGTATTAATAACAACCCTTTTCTTTCTCCCTTCCAACCACCCTACAATCCAGTTAACTGGTCTTTCCCCAACCTCTATTGATGTCGTTTTCTTAGCTAATCTTTCATGTAGTATCTTATCAAAAGATTTCTGAAAATCTGCGTACACAAAGTTCAGATCATTTTTACATCCAGATAACAAGTAATATCATTGAAATAAAAAAAAGATTAGCAAGCTTTCATGTATGATATCATATTTCATTAAATGATTCTGTAAAGCTTTTGTTATCAGACTAGAATTTTCCCCATAATATAGAAATTAAACTAACCAGCCTATAATTGCCAGGAGAACTCTTACCATTCTCTTTAAAAATAGGTGTAACATTAACAACTCTCCAATTATCAGTTACTGGTTCACTGTCTGTTGACAAATTAAAAAGAGTCTCGTATATGTGATCTTTGACCTCATTTAAAACCCATGAGAAAACCATGTCTGGTCCTCGGGATTTATTTTTAATCTCTCCGTCTTTCTATTCACCTCCAAGGAATTAGTATCTATGTAATTCATGGTCAGGAATATTGCTAATGTCTCCTGTTGTAAAAACAGAAGAAAACATTTGAAAACTTGGCCATCTCCTAGTCTTCAACAAAAACCTTACTACCAGCATCCTTTGAAAGTGTAATCCTCATTTTAACATTTTTATAACCTTTACCATACTTACAAAAATTCTTGCTATTAGTTTAGCAGTTGAAATACTCATAAGCTCTTCCACATTTCCTGTTTTCTTGTTTAACCAAATCTCTAGCTTTAGTATAGTTCTGTAAATCTTTATCTGTCAATTTAAACATGTTAAACTTATAGCATTTAACCTTATTTTTTCCATTATGTCCTTAGTAAAGCAAGTTATGTTGATTGCTTCTGTTATCATTTATTTTATTTTTTTAGGTACATACCTATCTTAAACTAAAAGCAATTTATTTTTAATTTTCCAGATCTCCCACATCACTTTTTAATTCATTATTACAATTCACTTGAAACTATAGGAACTTAAAGCTTGTTTATTTTTATCTCAATATATAGAAAAACATCAAACCTAGTTGTGCAATGAATAATCTTACCCAAATATTCCCCAACTTCAACTGTTGCAACTGCATCCTAATTAGTGGTTAAAATGATTTGATTTTCATGACAAGGAACCCGCGTTTTAGAAAATAAAGTTTAAAGATGGTTTTAATGGATAGCGATAGAAACTTCATTACAAATTTACAATGTTTTGACAAGCTTATGTCATCACCAGCTTGTTGAAGCATTGTACATTTGTAATAAAGTTTCTTGCACTACCCATTCAAGCCATCTGAAAACTTTATTTAGTGGTTAAAATCAATGTAAAATGGCTCTTTTTGATATACAAAAGCCATTCTGAATCACATCAAGAAACATCTCTCCTCTCACTGTTTTACTCTTTACATTCCCAATCAATCTGTCTCCCAAAGTGATTGCATCACTGTTCTTATTAGTAACAATCCAGATCTTCTTATACAATTTCTCTTTGATGTCATCCGTCTGATAAGTGGTCTATAACGTTTACCAATTAAAAACTTTCCATCCTTGAAACCCCTGTTTGTAACCCATACAGATTAAGTTTCATAACTACCTTTTTTTTTATGGTTTCATACCTAACAGGCTGCAATTTGTCTGTTATATAAAGAGTCCCCCACCCTCTCTTTCAAAATGCTTATCACTATTAAATAACTTGTAACCTGAAATTTCAAAATCATTTGAGTTATCAGTGTCCTCCAAATCTAATCAAGTATCAGTAATTCCCATTATGTTGTATATTCATAGTCTTCTATTTCGACTAGAACCCTGAACTCGACTATTTTGTTATTAACATTAGAATAATAACAGCTGAGTTTTTTTTGTGTTGATCTTTACAACTATTATTTATCTAAAAATATTTTCCCATTCTCCACATTATAGCTGTCACATCAATTCGTTTGTTCTTAGTTTTGCAAGCTCCCTGACCATTATACAAGTTTAGTATAAATTATTTTTAATTAATGTAATATATATATTTATGTATATGACAGGTTTTTGTGCTAAATTAACATAATTTTATTATATATATTTTACATGTTGATCTTACTGTGGAATTAGTTTTAAACTTATCAGAGAAGATAAATCATAATTGAGTGTGATATTTGATTTTTGGTAGCATAAAATAAATATAAGTAGGCCAAATATTTAAATTTTATATAATGGTAGCTGGCATAATAGGACAAAAAATGACAGTGTTTTCTATTGAAACAATGGTTGGTCTATCTAATTCTAGCCTATAATAAAAATAAAACTATGCATAATTGGCTTTCTCAGTTAATGCCAACTATAGAACTTGTTTGACTATGATGTCCAATTAATGTTAGGAGTTTGTATTCTTTGATGTCTAAAAGTAAATTGGTGGTTTAACTATTAGACACCATTTGTATGTTTTCAACCGAATTGCAGGTGATTTTTTATTTCATTTGTTTTGCAGTGTTTTTCATGAGGAGTAGAGATAGATGGGCACAAAAGTATATTATAAACATGGATGTGAACTCATAGCAAGTACTGTGCTAATTATATGGTAAGTTTTTAATTGAAATATAAAGAGATGCAGGAATAAAATGAGGTTTACATAAGTTCTTCTTTATGGCCATTGTTCATTTAAAAAAAAATTATTATTAGACTTTTGGTATGTGCACAGTTCTAGGAATATATAGTTTATAGTGAGAATTTTGCATGTGGATAAGTGCACACATTGTTACTAATGCTTGAAACTGTTGTACTAATTTTGTTTAAATAGTTTTATCAAAAAGTTCAAAGAAACTTCCATTTGACAAGAAAGTATTCTTTCCCGTTTGCTACTCTCATAACTCAGGTATGTGACTTTCTGTATATATTGCCTATATATCGTAACAATTCTTGGGTTGCTTTACTTTGTGAGCTTTCTTCTGTTTCACCTCGACATTGGTCAAAATCTTCCTTGTCCTCCTTATCCTTGTGATTCCTTTGCTATAGCTTTCTAATGTTGTAATCCAATCTCTTGTATTCTTTTTATCTGCTTAGGGTGTTCCTCTTTCACCTTCTTTGTCTCTTTCTTTCTTGCAATCTGCTCTTCTTCATCTTACCTTTACTCTTTTGCTATATCACCACCCTTCACATCCTCACTATAGTTTTTCTTTATGTCACTGTTTATTTTCACATGGCCTCTCATTCTTTGTTTGTCCTTTTGACTTTTATTTCTTCTTCTATTGCCTGTATTTGGTTTTCACTCTTCTTGGGGTCTTCTCAGACTGGATGCTTTTCTTTCAGGTGTCCACCATCCTCCTCTTCTTTCTTTGCCCCATGTGTTTCCCCCTTTTCTCACTTCACCAATCTCTGGGGGTGTTCCCAATTCCTTGGCTTCTTGAGCTGCAAGCACTTTACAACTATCTTTCTTTGATTTCCTGGTTTACTGACTCACTAGACTATGGATACATCTATTGGCTAACTGACCTCAGAAGTCTCATGGGGCTACCTCTCTCTTGTCTTATCATTTCTACTTGCCATTCCCCTTCCCACTGGGCACACCATTGAGACACTCAGTGGTAACTCTTCCTTGGAACCAGTTCATGGTGCTGGAACCTGTAGTGCCTGCTTTTCCCCCTTTCACTCCTATAGTCTTCCTTCACTGACCCCTTTTGGGTTGTGTAAGCTCTTTCTTAAGCTTTGTCCCTAATTTTCATACTCCACCTTCTCTTTCTTTTCATTGCCTCACTTATCTTTTTTTCATCCTCTGCACCTTCAATGTCTGCGTGGAAGTTTTTTTTATTCGCTTACTTGGTGGGCTTAACCATTTCCCATGACACTTCATGCCATGGAAATCTTAGTATTGTAGGTTCTTCATTGTCCTGCATTTTCTGCATGTAAGTTTCTCTTGCTTTTGATGTCTCTGGTTTATCTCTATATGATGCCCCTGTGATGGGCTCTATACAATCTCTTGCACATGTCCTGTGATCCCTTTTCTGCTCTTCTGCCTTTCCATTCATCTTTCCCTCCAAGTCTGTTGTGGTGGCTTAATTGCTTCACCATGTCCCGGGACATTCCATCCCATCCACCTGATTTTACACTGATGCCTTTCTTTCTAAGTTGGGAAAGGGCAGTTCTTAACATTCCTACATTCTGTGGGGTCTGGTCTCCAGTAGAGTAATCTCTGTTTATTGGTATTATAGAAATATTTGCTGCTAGAGAGACATTCTCTTTTGGGACGTATGCTTTACCTTATTTTTTGTCATAGTCCCATCTGTGTTAACAATTGCTGGTTACTGAGTAGTGTTATCTACACTTTTTTGCCTGGTACTGTTGCCCAGTTGTCTTCATTCAGATATTCACACCTTGTTTTCCTCCTGTCGTCTATATCATGAGGACCTGTTGTTTTGTTCCCTAACCATTCCTTTCTTCTGAAGCCTTGGACTGTCCAGAAGGTTTGACCAGTTACTTTTCTCCCTTTTATTTTTTCATTATGCAATCATTCCATTCCTGATCATCTTTTATGCCCAGTTAAGGCTGTCTGTTGCTAACCAGCTCAGAAACCCCCTTTCATGAACACAACCATTGCCTATTTTCCTCCTCTAGGAACTTATCCCCTTCTACTTTAACGAGTTGGGTTCATTAGCTTATCTGGCATGTTCCTTTTTTGGGTGATTCCAATTGCTGTTTAATGTTACCTCCCATCACATTAGGCATATCTAAGTCTCTCTTGTCTCTTTTTGATGCTGACTTTCAGTGGAGATCTTATAGGCTGGTGTGTGGACTTCTGCCACATTCGTCTTCCATTACTTACACCACTGGGCAGTTTCATGTGCTTCTGGTTTTCAACTCACTCTGGTCATCATTCTCTAGTCTACCTAGAAGATCTAGTGAGGTGAGTTTTGCCTATTGATTTTCTTTTCCAGCTCCATTGCTGATCTAGCTTGATCTCCATGTCTCTCACACATTTCATGACACCAACATGTGTATACCATTCCTTTTGTAAAAACTCATCTGAAATAAAACAACAGAAAAAACAGGAGCAAGTAAAACAAAAACACACACAAAATTGTCATGTGCAGCTAAGTATAACATTCGTTGTGTTTGGTGTCATTGGATCGATCTGAGTGTTTGATGTTGCCTCACAAGATTTGTATGGGGGAGTACAGAAAGTGTTAAACCTTTATGTTTCTGCTCATTACCCACCATTGAGATGGGATTTTTGGCAAGATTGCTTTGGCAGTATATCTATAGAATTGACATGGCACCTTTTATTAAAAAACAACAAAATGGACAGCACCAAGTGTATTCCTGCCTTTAGACTTGGCTTGTGTTTACTGTCTTTAGTCTTAGTAACCCATTGCTCTCTCTGTGGGAACCCAATACCAGATGATTGTGTCAGATGACAGTGGTCCAAGCATACTCTGATGTTTCTTCCATATGTGTATTCTTCCTCCTCATGCCTCTATTGGAGAATGGGAGAACCCTTAAATCGCTAGTCCCAAACATCTGGGGATGTCAGTATGGAGAGTTTCTTCTGCAAGTGGTGCTCCCCCCTTTTCCTCAGTAAGAGACTGATTGGACCCACCCCTCATTTGAGGTTTAAGGCTGGATTATTACCTAGAAGTATAGTACAGGACACATTGTTATAATATCTCCAAAGCAGTTCCCTGTAGATATGTCCACCCAGATGGAACTTGGATTTTCCTCAGGATGCAGACAGTGGCTTTTCCTCTCTCCACCTGTTGTTATAGTAACTATCTCATATAAGTATTTAACCAAGACACAATGTCTTGAAGCCCTAGCCATGCTACACATTTTAATGTTCCATCCACTTGGTGACACATTACCACCAGCATTGGATTTTCATGATATCCATTTGCTGTACTATCTTTGTAAAAAAAAAAACCAACAATAATAACAAAATATCGTATGAAGAATGTTCCCTTCTTGAGAAGGATGTGGTCTCCTACAGAGTGCTGTTTCATTAAACAATCCTCAATTTGTGGAAATTGCACTCCATAGGCTTTCCTTTTCTGTCACTATTTCAGTAAGGAGCTTCTCTTTGCAAATGATAAGCACTGGCCCTTCACCATCTTTAATGTGGGATACTAGGTCTTAATGGTGCAGAGAGGCAAGTAACATTTCTGAAGTTAACAATTTTCTTACCTGAAAAATACTTTCATACTTCCTCCCCATTTTCAATGCATTTTGTTTACCTCGTCAAAATGAGCTTATGATCATGTGCTAGTGCTCATGGGGATTACTACACATAGAAATTGTGTCCCTCTTGTGTTGGTAGAAGGTTACACAGTATAAGAATTACATCATAGACTGATGCATTACATATAGATGCATGTAGAAGCTGGACTTTGTTCAAGGATTGTGGAATGTGCAGGAATTTTCATGGCAGTTGCACATGAGGTAATAGCTCTTACTGTTGCATAAAGATAAGTTATCTATCTGAAATAGGTTCCAGGTAAGGAAAATGTTAACTTTTTGTTATACCACATTTTTGCTATACACATGGTACTTTATTAAAATTATAACATTTTGTTTAAATTGCCAGTATAAACAATAATGAACCATTAAGTACAGTGGACCTTTAAGAAGGGACTATGATGAAACAACATGGCAGCCATAAAAATGACTTGCTTAAAACCACTTTTAAAATGTCTGAATATTAACAATGACTATTTCACAGTATTGGCTGTGCAGAACTAAAGCTTATTGTACTTATAAAGCTGCCTAAACCACTATATATATGTGTTTATGGAGTGAATTAAAATTTTCACTATTTCAACACATTTTCATCTAAGTGACTTTTCCAAACAAGCATACAGAAAAATATGATGAACCTTATCACTCTAATTCTTTCACAGAACTCTTCTGTCTTGGGTCCCAATGATTTCTTTCTTGTACCAAAAAGAATATTAGTATATATACATATATTTTTATAAAATGGATGATGTGCTACATTGGGCATTTAATTAGATTTGAGGTTAGGTTGGTAGAGATCCTGATCAGTAATAAAATTGAATCAGGTATACGGATACCCTATGCGTGGTATAGCTAGCACACTAAAATATAACTTATAGAAAGGAAACAAATAAGTATTTTAAATTTTATAAAGGCAAGTAGGAAACTTGTTTCAGTACTTTTTGTAGCATTAAGCTTTTTATATTACTATAGCTAGCTTTGTAATTATTTTTAGCAGTATGTTAATAGTGGTGATCTGAGTGCCCTGTTAGGCAGTCTTAACTTGTGAATAAAAAAATCAATAATATAAATAAAGATATGGCCCATTTAAATGTGAAAAAAGAAAGCAGCTTGGATTACCAAACAATGGTAATTTAAGTATAAGATAAAAAAAAATGAGTGTTTCTTTTAGGAGGAGCAAAAAAAATAACACTTGTAATAATTTTTTATATTTTTTTGATGGATGAGTTGTATAAGAAGTTTTGCCTGTGTGACTTTAGTCTACAATAATTGTTCCATGTTAAAGTAATAATTAATATATTACAATTTTTCTTACTTAAAATCTGCTTATTCCATTGATGAACAAAATTGTTTCCTAGGAAATTGTTTTTAGTAATAAGTTTAGATGTTTTCATGTCATTTTGGTTAAAATATTTTCTCTGCAACTACAGGAACTGCATGAGCTCCACTGCTCATTTTATATTAAAACTACGTGTGTAAGATATATATGTGCAATTCATAGAAATGATACAAAAAACAAAATAAGCCTTAAAGGCAAATAATTCATATGATATAGCATACTTATATGGATTTCAACTATGGAAATTTTGTGGTTTTGTTTTGTATGTTATAGTAGATCGTGAAAGTACTTGTACAGTTTTTTTTAGTCGTCAGAATTGTTGAATATCTCTATTATTCCAAATACTTGTAGCATGCAATGAACTGCTATTATTGGAAGTAATAGAACATTATGGCTTGGCAACTGGTAAACAGAGTAGTTCATCACATCTACAGAGAACCAGTTAAATGTATTGAATTACATTTGTTTTCTTGGGTTCCTTGTGAATAGTTTTTACTTGTTATTTTATTAGATGGATAAGATTCATTCTTTTACTGGTTAAAAGATCTTAAGGATATGTAAACTGTGTCTTGTGTTAGTATCCAAGTATTTTAAGTCAAAATGTGTGCTACTATGAAGATGCATTGAAACTTTGCTAAAAGCAGTGGGTAAATAGTACATGGTATAAAACTAGGAAAACTTAGCATAATTTCAAGCACTTGATCATTATTTATAAACTTCACTGTTCAGTTATAGATGTTAATTTATTTATAGTTGGATTAATTATTGTTGGCTATTATTTAAATAGAAGTGAATTTGCTTTGCAGCAGCTGAACATACATCAACTGTTATTATTATTTTGAATAAATGCATATTTTTATGAGGTATACGATGTGCAAATGTGAAGAATATTAAGAAATATTGTGAGTTAAAGTTCTCTGCTCCTGAATATCAGGAGGTTTAAAAGTTTGAATTAGAAAAATGTTGTTTTATTTCAAGGATTTTGTTTTTTCAGTACAACCATACAGAAACATCTATTTTCTTTGCCCTGTTAGTAGTCATATCCACATAATTGTTCTTGGCTTTAAAAGACTTCCAAATCTTAGAATCACTTATGTAACCTTAGTTAATTCTCTTTATATTATCAATATTATTATTAGCCTGTAGAATATGGTTAGTGACATTTACCTAATTTGAAAACTGCTAAATTATAACCGTTCTGTTTTTCAGTATTTAAATATTCATAAATATTCAGGACTTGTGATTATAACCTAGTCTATTGTAAAAAGTGTTATTACAGTTTCCTGAAAATAAAATACATACATACATCGACCTGAAAAGGAAGTTTGTACTTATAGGTAACCAAAGGAAGACTTTATAAGTAACTAAAGATGAATATGTTGGTTTGGGTTTAGTTTTCTAAAGTCTTCCAAATGTCAAAGTGTGAGTTTGTTTTTTAACATATTTGTTTTGGCTGTTTGGTGTGTGGTAATAGAAGTAGGTGACAGAATGAAACGTTTTGTATGTTTTTCAAATTGCATGAAAGCTCATATTTCTAGTGACTTTATGGCTAATGATATCTGTTATATTCTCAAGCTGTAATGTTGTCTAAATATATCACTGATATTATTGAATGTATTTTGTCAAAAACAAGCATCTATACACATGTACACAAAATGATGAGCAAATGCACTTCAATTTCCATTATTCTTTCCAGGGAAGGCATAGCTTAGCATTTCCTAGAGAAAAATCCTGAAGGTAAATATTTAAAAACATTTTGTCAGTACTTTATTGGGTTTCTAATAAAACTTGTTGTTCTTTAATTGTTTGAGACCTGGGTATGTAAATTTGACAGATGTTATATGATTTGTTAAATTGCATTGTGAAAAAAAAAAAAAGCTATTGGATGGAATAATTTTAAAATGCAGAATTACTTTCTACAAGTTATGTAGCTTCTGAAAGTAAAATATTTTTATATGTGATTGTTTTTTAATTTTCAGCTTTGCAATTTGAAAAGATTTCATTGTGATACATTTTTTTAAGGAAACAATTAAAAATGCTGACCTTTCATTGTAGATATTAATTGTTGCTTTTTTCATGTCTTCCTAAAATCTTTATAAAAGTGTAAATTTTATTTTTGTTTTGATTGTAAGGAATGTAGTAGAATGTAGAAAGTAAGGAATGTAGTTTCACTGAGTTTAAAATAACTGGCATACCATAAATTGTTTTAGCATGCCAAAATTATAGGCATGACATTTTGTTTTTCAAATTGTTAATCATATATTTCATGTAGCATATGTGATAAGTTATAAACGTATTTTACATTCATTTATATATTTGTTTTTATGTTTCCTTTTGGTGATTTTCTTTGCCCATTAAATTCGATACTTGAGCTAATATGATCTGATGCAAACAAGGCCTAAGGGTGCAGCTTGTTGGCATAATAAAACTTGATACGGTCAAATGTAAAATGATTCAATTAAGCCTACCTCATCTTGTTTGTCAGAAACGTTTCTTTTGCTATCATACTTCAGCATCTTAATTCAAAGGAAGTACAAAATAATAAAGAAAACTTTTTTGTGAACTTAAAAAAGAAGTGGGATATAATGTATATATGATGGAACTTGTTCACAGGCAACTTTTTTTCTGGGAAGGTATCACCAAAATAAACTTTTATCATTTCATTATGGGCCCCAGTGAAAATTGCTGCTGAACTGAAAGCATTATTGCTTTTACAGTTCAAAGGAATAAGAAAAAAAGGCAGTACAAGATTTTCTGCCTCTACAGGTTGTTGCACCTGTTAATCATCTTTCACCAGGCTGTCTGTTATCCTTGCACCAAACTGGAGACTGGCAGTCTGTACTAGGTTTGTCCCACCTCATTCTAATTTTCAATCTGCCCCATTTTACCTTGGAGTCATTTCTCACCCTTAGATGGGCTTTTTCTCCAGGTTTATTGTTGCTTATTTGCATACCTCCATATTTTGTCACTTGTGACCCTCTCTTTATTTTTTGTTTTTCTGTTTTGCGCACTGCCCATTGGGCTTGCTTCGGCCCTGTATGTCTTGTTGTCCCACCTCATTTTAATTTTCAATCTGCCCCATTTTACCTTGGAGTCATTTCTCACCCTTAGATGGGCTTTTTCTCCAGGTTTATTGATGCTTATTTGCATACCTCAATATTTTGTCACTTGTGACCCTCTCTTTGTTTTTCTGTTTTGCGCACTGCCCGTTGGACTTGCTTCGGCCCTGTATGTCTTGTTGGGCATTCAGAGCATTCATTCATCAATTATATGCACTTTCCTTTTTCTTTGGTTAACTGGCTACTATTCACTCATTCTGAAAAGGAGTCCATCTGTTATCCTTATCAGCTGCTCCTGGAGGCTGCTATAATGGGCTGTTAATCAAGTTGGAGAAGTCCTTACTGCGACCTATCTAATATCTTGTCCATTTAGGTGTTTTCCGTTTTCTACACACATCTCAGTTGGGCCTGCCCTTCTCCTCTTGGACATCATTTGATGAGTTTTCATTTCGATTACAGATCATGAAGTTTTATTGCTTTTGGGGATGCAACCTTCCATGGTAGCCTTAGCCCCTTTGGTCAGGCTCATATGCGGGCCCTTGTGTGGGCTTTTCATGACCAATGGAATTTCGCAGAGATCCTCTGTCGGTTCTTATTACCCTTATTGGCATTGTGGTTAGATATGATTCACACATTAATGGGTATTCTGCTTTCTCCTCCTCATCCGGTTTTCCACATTTCATAGACTCATCCCTTTTGGGGATGAAGGGTGTGGGTTGATCAACTGGAAGATTCGAGGTTTCTGGTCTTGGCTGAGAGGTCCGATCCTATCAATGTCTTGGAGCTTCTTGCTGTAGGTAATATTTTGGTTAATTTTCTCCATCTGGTTAGGCCCGGCATGGCCAGGTTGTTTAGGCACTTGACTTGCAATCTGGGGTTTGTGGGTTCAAATCCCTATTCCACAAAACATGCTCACTCTTTCAGCTGTAGGGGAAATTATAATGTGACAGTCAATCCCACTATTCATCTCTGCTGTGGTTTCCACAGCTTTTCCATCTCCAACTTCCTCCTCTGTTACCTTTTCCTCTCTCTCTGTCCCTTCTTTGCCACCCTCAGTCACTGGTGTTTCATCCAGGCCTTCCTGTCCTCTGTCTTTATGCCTGGTTTTCCTCTTGTCATTGGGGAGGTGATCTGGCTTCTCCCGACAGTTAGCCTCTTTCATGGCTTGTTTCATTTGCACTTCCTACATGGAAGTTTCTCAATGCAAACGGAATTTTTCCATCTTTGCTTTCATTGTCCAGGGTTTTCCCCTGGTCAAGCCATTGTTCTTCGTCAAGTGGATTTCCTCTATTGACTTTCGGATCAGGGGTCTTCTGTCTCCTCGGTCTCAGATTCTTTGGCAGTCCTGTCTCACACCTTTTGTTTTTCTTGATCTGGCAGGTATTTCCCTCTCTTACACATTACCCGTGGATTTGTTCCTTTTGGATTTGTCATCTACTGCGGTAGTCTGTCCTATTGGATAGGGATGTTAATTAGTTCTTGCACTGGATCACTTTGCATACATTCGACCCACTCTTCCAGTGTTCCCTGTTTCCCCTTCCACCTTGTGGGTGTTAGTGGCCTGTTTATTTACCATCGATGTTTCGCGTACTCTTTATCCTTTTACATATTTTCTTCTTTCTCTGAATCATTTTTCCTCCTTCACACTTCAGCAGCTTGTTAGGATGACTCCTCTGTTTAGCTGTATTCTCTTCCCTCCGTTTCACACCTTTATCCTCATCCTGATCCAGATAGGTTTCTATGTCCTGTACATGCCCTTCTGTTATTTTGCTTACATGGCTTCCTTGTGTGGTGTCTGTTCCTGCCTCTTTCTTCCTTGGCAGCCATTCTCTATTAATGTTCTTTCTCCTTCCTCATTTTTCAGTTGGGTTCAGCTATTCATTGGCATTTTATCTTCATCGTCCTTTGGAGGTACGTCTTCAATTGGCCATGTGGATTACCCATGTTACGTTCCTCTCTCACTATTTACATCGGGTCGCGATTTTCTTCCTCTTCGGGTTATTGTGTTTCTCCTGTAGCCATTCTAGAATATCAGAATTCAGTGAGACTTTGGCTGGGTAAATTTTTTTTTGTTATTTTTCATTTTCAAAGGCCATTTTCCCTGCAATTGAGATCCCTCATCCTACATCCATGTGGATGTTGGTTCCCAGTGGCCGTATTTTGGATGTAGAGTAAAACTAATCAATGCAAGTCTTCACACATGTATTACATGTCTTTATTCCTCCCTCATTTATACTACATCAGTGTTGTGGGTCATGGTGGAGGTAATTGGGGATTTTTGTGGTTCTTTCCCCTCCACTATCCCTTGATGTTTCATCTTCTGAGAATATTAATGTGCTTAGGGTGGTTCCGGTCAATTTCACTTTTAAAGGAGATTGTTTACATTATGTAGAAATCTTTTTGATACCGGAAGTTGGGTTCCTGGATTTATCTATCAATTGATCATATTCACATGTGCACTGTTCATGAGTTGGGGGTAACTAGATTTCCTCCAGTCTCATGAACTTGAGATGAAGATGATATGATCAGATGGCTGGGTTTTTGATTGTAGACAACTTGCTAGTAGTATGATCCTCATTCCTACCCCCAACATGGATGTCAGTACCCGATGGCCAGATTTTGGATTGTAGTTGACTTACCGACAGTATTATCCTCATCCTACCCCCGCGTGGATGTCAGTTCCCAGTGGCATGGGTTTTGGATGTAGTTGACTTGTCGTATATAGTCCGTTGCACCTTAACCACTCTACATCTAGGGTCACATCCTTTTCATTTTAAGCACTCTTATATAATGATATAATGAGTTTAGAGTTTCACCTTAAACATCTTTTTTATCTGTATTTGGCATAGTGTTTTATTCTAGTGCTTGTTTTTGTTGAGATTATTTATTGTTAATGGTAAAAGTGTTTTGTATTTCCCTATTTATTAACTAATTTTATTTGTATAATTATTGTAGAAAAATTAAGGGTATTAAGAATTTTATAGGATGGGGTTTTAGTTTTATGTGCATTTTGTCTCATATCAGATGCAATTTGGAAACTAGCTTATTTTTTTGGGTAAACTGAAAAATTTCACAGCTTAACTTAAATGTAGCTTCTTTTAAGGAAGACTTAATGCATAGTGGAAATTAATTTTTTTTATGAAATAGGTTTTAAGTTTACATTTTCTTTAGAACAACATTTCTAGCTCATTTGAAGTTCTATTCCATTTAGCTGTCATTGAAGCATTGTTCAATGGATAAAACCAGACCTCAAGAGAGATTATGGAGAGAGAGAACAGCCACAGAACGTGGATTTATTCTAAGAATACTTCTCTGTCAACAAATTTAAACTTTATATTCATAAGAAAATGGCAGTTTTATCAAAAAGTAAAAGGTATTTTATTATTATAAATTTCTGTATTTGAAATAAAAAAGTACTTTATTACTGAGACTTGTAATTTCACATTTTTATTTAAGATTAAAGGTATTTAATTCATCTTTAAGCCTAATTTTGAATTCACTATAAAATTTAAAAAATTTCAAATTAACGAAAATTAATTACTTGTATATGTAATAGAATATTCTCTGTTTAGAGAACTTTGAGAGAAATTGATAATATTTTTCAGTTTCAAACTAGTACAAAAAAGGTCCAATTTTTAAAATATCCGGAGTAAGTGTCTAGATTTGGTATATATATTGTTGCGTCAGCGAGGTCACGTGACTATTATCACGCCACTCCTTCTCTCGAGTCTTCTAGAGATTACTAGATATAGGGTAGTCTGGTATATATAAGATGGTCACAACGTGACGCAATAATGTGTGTAGGTAATGAGTAATTGAACTGCGGTCAGAGAGAGACGTATTGTTGAAGTTAACGTTTGTCCGTTATAGTGTTTGTTATAGCTCGACTGTTGAAGTTGAGTGTATCGTAAAGTTATATTCGGAAAGAATAAACCAGTTTTATTAAGTAAGAACTTGTGTCGCTAAAGTTTCGTCGGAACGAATTTACGGGAAATCAATTAACAAACGGAGACGTAACAATATATATATATCTTAAATCAGGAGTAAATGTATTTTTTATATGTGTACATTAGAATACCTGATGTTTGCTTATCACTGAATTTTAATTCTTATCAAGGCAACATTTATTAATGAACTAGAATTTCCAAGAAATAATTACCACTGAAATTTTAGATAATTAGGGATTTCTTCTCCCACCCTCTCTTGTGTAGTGTGAAAATATCTTTTAAACTTAAAACTCGTGCATATTAGCTGAAGTAATACATCTGAATACTTATTTTGTGTGTAATGTATACTTTTTTAATATAATGATTTAAAGGAAGAATACAGCTTCATGCTTGTTTGGAAATATAATTTTAGATTGAGAATATTTTCATTTTAAGCATAATGTTCTTATTTAGTTAACAAATGCTAACATTAAAATGAATTTTTTGCCATCAACAAAGAGTAAGTTGTTAATGTTTTACTTCAAATTCTGAAAACTGAGTTGTGTAATATATGACTTCCATTTTAGAAAACTTAAGTAATTTTAGCTAGCATTTCTTATTGCTCCCAAGTGGCTCAGCTGAGGGCTTATAATGCTAAAAATCAGGTTTCCGATACCTGTAGTGGGGAGAGCACAGATAAACTGTTGTGTAGCATTGCGCTTAACAACAAACAAACATTTCTTGTATGTTCTTAATATTGAGTTTTCATCAGTGTTTCTCTCAATAACTAGGAAAAGAATATTTGAGGAAGAAGAAATGGATCTGTTGGTGAAATGTAGAAAATTTAGTCTTACTTTATTTTATGGTATGTTATTCTTTTTTCAGATTGTACATAGAAAATAATTTACTTTTTATAAATATTTTTCTTTTGCATCTAATGATGCAATGTATTCTAAACATGATAGGTTTTAGTTATTCTGTGTATTGATTTATGACAATATCTGCTTCTAGTTTGTTACATAGAATTAGTTTCCTTCATTTATACTTCTTTTTAGTTTCCTATTGTATAGAATCAGCTTATTTATGATCAGAAGTTGTAGGTAATATGTTAATAAAATATTGTTGACATTACTCATTAATGTAACGATTATAAAAAATTGTAATTGAAAAAGTTACTAGCTGATGTTGGTAAACCTGTTTTATGATATTGAAATTCCACTTCTGCTTAACGACTTATAAATGAAAAGTTCTTGATTGAATAGGAACAGGTTTAAAATTGGAAGTTGCCTTATGAAGTGAATTTGTATAATTTGATTTTATTCTAACTTGAAAGATCAAATTGCTTTACTTTCTTAAGAACTGAATATACAAAAGATGTTATCTTCACTTAATAACTAGCACATTTCTTCACAACTGTTTAGTGTAGGTAAGTAGCTGATTAATTAGTATGTCTTCTATCAAATTTAATTTGTTTGATACTGATACAAACATATTTGTCCAAGAGAAGTAATACTTAACTTTATTTAAATAAAGTAAGTTTTTAAGTTGTATAGTTGAAACATTATTTGTATTAATATTTGCTTGTTTTTTGACACTGAATTGGCTGTGATTATGACCATAGAGGGGTTTGTTTTCAAGTTTAAGGACAGACTTGAAGATGTTTGTTTTTATACAGAATGTTCTGATTTCAACACTTGATACTATAGAGAAAAGGAAAGAAACATTCACTTACTGAATACTTCTACACATTAGGAATGTATATATATATCAGAAATGTACATTTTTTACTCAGAAAAATGTACAGATGGAGGACTTGCACTGAGAAGAGTATACTGACATAGCTTTGATGTTATAAAGGGACCATAAAGTATAATTCACCAAGGTTTTCCTTGATGACAACGGATAGAAATGGCATACTAGTGTTGTAACTCTTGTGAGGAAGATTCTTAAGGACCTTTAGGAAAATATTTCAGCCCTTCTTAAGAAAACTTATGACAATCTAACAACTTCTATCCAGTTCACACTCACACATTCATGTTATTTATAATCACACCAAAGGAACAACATGAAAAATTTCACCCATTATAATTCAGTTTATCAACAGACGTGTATGGTACTCTTGAATATAAAGTAGAAAGAGTCGAGTCAGTTGCTCACACATTCTTAATGTTCAGGATAGTTCTATCATTTATGTAAGTGAAACTACACTCCTGTAAGTAAAAAGCTTTCAGGAAAACAAAAATCTATGTTAGAGAAAATAAACATAAGTATATCTGGTTTGTAAACAGCAGAATTCTGGTTAACAAAAATTAAAATAGTAGAGTAATTCACATGGCTGGAATAAATGGTATAAAATTATTATTGATATAAGTATTCTTAATTTAATATTAATAGATCATTAATTTTTTTAAATGGTGAATTTAAAATTTTTTACATACTTCTGATATGGGTTTTCCAAGTGAATTCCGATACGGTACATTACCTCCCCTCATATAAATAGTTATTCTCATTCAGTACTGCCCTCTCAACTCAAAAAAAATAAAATTGTGCATGCTACAAGCCTTGAAACTCCCACCCATCTGGAATTGACTTATTCCAATGCATCTTGCATACAAGTTATGTACAACCCTCCACCAATAAGAGCACAACACACATTCTTGATGCATGTGACTCCCTCTATTCAATTCTACCGAATTATCACTTCTCATTTGGCAGTACTTGTATTATAACATTAGTTTGTGCTCTCTTTAAGTGTTTAATTTTAATTTTTTTCCATATCTTTGTATTAATTTCTATCAATTAGTTTACTTTTTATTATATAATAGTGATATTTGTAACTTGTTGAGTTATTTCGAAGTGGAATTATTTTATATTTCTACCCAGTTAAGGAACTTATTACTTCATTCCAAAAACATTTTATTTGTTTCTGCCAACACATTTGTGTTTGGTTGTTCAATTTGTAATATGAATTCTGTGTTACCACTTTAAAGGTTATATACTCTATTATCACAATTACTTAGGCTTCAGGTCACGGTACTATGCAGGAAGATTTTTGGCTTTACTTCATCAGGAGGTCGATTGTTCAGTGAACTGACTTTCGTTTGGCCTTGCCTCGAGTTTGGGGGCACACATAATTGAAATACAGTCTGCCAACTTTGGAAAGATAAGTCATTTTACTGTTATGGTTTTTGAATAATTTTATTGTTAATATTATTATCTTTAGTTATTTGGGTTCCATAACATAAGTTTCGTTAGATTGGTTAATACTCATAGTCAAGTTCAGGTTAGCAATTAGTCTTAGTTGTATTTTTTCTTCTATACCATTCAATTAGGCTTACCATGGGCTTTGTTATTTAAGGATTACCTGTAATTCATCTTAATGCTATATCAATCATTTGTTTAACTATATATTGTTTTTCTTCCATACATTACATCTATTTCATTTTCGTTATTATATATCTTTTCCACTATCACCACTTTCACTTTCATCTTTCCTTATAATTTATATTTCTTACCATTAATTTCGTTTATGAGAGCCAGTGGGGCCGGTGTCCACTCTACCTGTTCCCAGTATTGCTTGCCTTCCTCCTATAATGGCTGAACTCATTTCCCGACGACCTCGATTTTTTCCGGTTTTCCTCCATTTCTTTGTCTGTGATTTTTCACCTTCCTCATTGGGTTTTGGATTATGCTTCTATTGGCCTTTTATTCCTTGTCTCCTTCTTCCCATCATCACTTCCTGGTGTCTTCACTCTGATGATACACCTTCCCTTTTACCCTGCATTCTACCCTGCCATTCGTTGGAGGTACTTCATATATCAAACACTGGGTCTGCATCAAATACATTCATCTCCCATTCTCTGCTTTGGGTAGCTGTTTCTTACTTGTTGAGGTACTGTCATCCACTTGTTGCCATCCTTCACTCTTTCATGAGATTATGACTGGGTAAGTTACCTTTTAGTATATATGCTTCTTCTTTTTAATGGAAATGTCCGTTTTTTCTTTCCGGATCCCACTCTGTGGCAAGTGATGCCTGACCAAGTGTTCTTTAACTGTTTAAATCTACATTGGAAGACCATGTTGATTTACATATTATAATTCCATGGCCATGCAACACACACTGCAAGATGGGGTGCTCCACAAGATCGCTTGTAGGTTTATCTTCGTGATATGTTTGCTCCATTAGTTTGCCCATCCCGGACTGTACTCACCCATAGACTACATGGGTAAAGCAGAGGGGATAACTGCCTATCCTTGCCATGCCATGTATTGAATACATTGTTATGGTCTGCTTTTCAAAATAGGATTTTGTGGTCACCCATTGCACTGTCTCCAGTGTTGTCATTCTTTTGAACTCTCTACTGTGCTTTCTTTCCCTTTTCTTCTAGTGGAATTTGAGAGTCCTTGCCACTTTCCACTTAAAAGCCACTGGGGTGGTGGACCATGGAGGCATCCTCCTGAATGTGTATTGAAATACAAATAATATATATAAATGATTATAAAACCATTCAGTTGAGAGTAGGGCAGTGGTGTTCTGCTGGTGTAGATGATGAGATATCCTCTACTATGTAACATGGGAGTGAGCCATCAAAATTGCAGTTTACCCCTTCGATTTAGATCCCTCATCCTACTCCCGCATGGATGTCAGTTCCCAGTGTCTGGGTTTTGGATTTAGAGTAGAACCAATCAACATATGTCCTTGTATAGATATCGGGTTCGGAGATCAATCATTCAATTTTTCACATTGTTATCATATGCCCATTCATAGGTTGGGGGTACGAGATTCTCTCCAGTCTCATGAACTTGAGGTGAAGATGGTATGATCCTCTTTCCTACTCCTACTTGGATGTCGGTTCCCAGTGGCTGTAGGGATTGTAGTTGACTTACCAACTGTATGATCCTCATCCTACCCTCACGTGGATAATGGTTCCCAGTGGCATGGGTTTTGGATGTAGTTGATTTGCCATGTATGGTCCATCATTCCCTAGCCACTCTACACCTAGGGGCACATCCTTTAATCTTATACACTTTTATGTTTTCAGGGATAGAGTTTAATAAATAATGGATGGTTAGGATCACTATCCTGACATAGTTCTCTCCCATTTGGCTGTGCTCCTCCATCTCTCTGCCCATATATGCGACATCTTTCCACAACTGTCAAAGAGTATACATTGTTCAGAAATGGTGCGGCTTCCCACATATGATCTTTGACTCTGAAGTCTGTCCTTCAGATGCTTTTGAAGGATGCTTCTTTCTTTCCTTTGTACCGGTCCCTTCACCTATTCAATGTGGAATTCTAGCTACTTATGTGAGCAGAGATAATGTACTGTATTGGAAGTTATAATTTTCCATACTGAAAATGTATTTTGGGTAGGTACTTATCTCCTCTCAAACTTCCCAATCTTCCTCCCCATTGAAGACTGGTGCTTCCATTTTCTACCAACATTTGAAGTGATAATTCAGTAGAATTGAATAGAGGGAGTCACATGCATCAAGAGAGTGTGTGGTGGAGGGTTGTTGCATGATAATTTGCATGTGAAATGCATTGGAATTAGTCAGCTCCATGTGGGTGGGAGTTTCAAGGCGTGTGGTGTGTGGAAAATTTTTTTTCATATAGAAGGCAGCACTGAACAAAAATAGCTATTTATTATTAAATTCCATATGGGTGGGAATTTCAAGGCTAGTGGTGTGTGGAAAATGGTTTTCCATATAGAGGGCAGCACCGTACAAGAATAGCTATTTATTAAATTCCATATGGGTGGGAGTTTCAAGGCTTGTAGTGTGTGGAAAAAGCTTTTGCATATAGAGGGCAGCACCATACAAGAATAGCTATTTTTGTAAGAGGAGGTAAGTACCTATTGGAAATTCATTTTCAGTATAGAAAAATTATAATTTTCATATGATTATAGACAAACATAGCTGGTTTGTAGATATCACTTAGAATTATAACATTTTAAAGGATTTATATATGTGTTGCATTAGAATATACATAGATTGTTTTCTGCTTTGATACTTGATGTTTTGGAATTTTTTATGATATTTCTAAGTGAATGTAACACATCAGCTGCTTAAAATGAAAATATCTATATTATTAATTATGATAAATTTTGTAAACATGTTGTTAATCAAAATAGAAGAGGTTTTGTCACCTATTGTCAGGAGACTTGCACTTACTGCCAGAATAATGTTCTGATTCATTCAGCTGAAGTACTTATTACTGTATCAAAAACCTTGTCATTTTTGGACATCATAGCCTTACATATGAATATATATATATCTTTTGATTCAAATATTAATATTTTTTGTAATAATTTGTAGCTTTGTTTTAAAGATAATAATTATCCCATAATTAGTGATATTAATATTGATTTTAAGGATGATAACAAATATGGTGTTGAGAGATGTAAAAATATTCCTGCAATTAATGGTTTTACTCAACATATAAATTACTGTAGTACAAAAGAGGTACATAATAATATGGTCACACAGACTTTTGTTATTAGTTATATTAGGAATAGGCAGATTAGTTCTGCTGTTGATAAACATAAAATCCTGGATCTTTGTATTATTAAGACTGAAAATATTATGAAATTTAATTACTTGAATGTGAGATTTTCTGATATTCCAGATCAGCATAATATTGTCTAAGATTTTTTTGATGTTAGGTATATTGAAAAAAACATTAAAACTGGAATAACATTTCAAATAGTACTGAGAATTTTTTACTGTTCTATGACAAAACTTGTAATATTTTTAATAATATATTTATTAGAATTAAATGTGTTAACACTTCCAATAGGACTGGTAAAAATAAAAGAATAGAGAAAAAATGGATGAATAATGAAATTATAAATTGTTGGTTTAGTTGCACTCCCATAAAATGGTCAGTTAAAGCAAGGGAAAAGGCACATGAAAGATGTTTGTTAATATTCAAAAACATATAGCCTAGAGAAGTAAATACAAAGCTTTGGTAGTTATGGACTATTTTGTTTAATTTACAGAAAGAAATAAAGTGATAAGTAGGGTTAAGGAAGTGGCCCAGTACACCTATGGCACATCTCTGAGACATGAATGATTTGTAAGTAGTTAATTGTTCTGTATCTATAAAAAAATTATTTTTGTGCTCTGCAATTAATTGTTTGCTACTTATTAATAGAAAATGTGAAACGCTTCAAAACCCTTAGCCAATTTGTACATGAATATGTGATACTGTATATCAGTGATAAATATCCTAAAATAATGGGTTATTTTCATCTCTACAAACAATCTCATGTCCCATAACAGTATATTCATCTGTATGACACACGTACACACAGCTTACTAAATTATCTTAGCACAATACGATGTCACACAACAATATATGCATCTCTAGGATACATGGGCTGAGTGTGGGTCAATAGTTGTACTAGACTAGATCTGTTGTTCTGTGGATTGCACCCTGTTACTGAAGGAAAAAGAAAGAAATCATGTTCCACACTTTGGTGCCATGGGTGCATTATAAGAGTGACAGTTAAATCCCAATATTCAATAATTATAGCTCAAAAGTTGACAGTTGGTGGTGTTGACTAGCTGTCTTCCCTCTAGTCTTTCAGTACAAAATTAGGGGCAAATTTTTCTTGTAACATGTGACTACTACCAATCAGTGAGAAAGTAATATACAATTGTTATTTTGAGCTTTAGACTTAATGAAGTTATTTGTTTACATTTTGACATTTTGCAAAGTTATTGGTAAAGTTAAGTGGAGTTTCATATGAGTTGATATAAGTCTTAGCAGAGTTACTTGATTCTAACTTTTCATTTTGTGTAAAAAGTTGTATGAAATACCTTCATCTTGAATAGGCTGGTTTGGCAAGAAGCAAGATAATAAAAAATTTTCCAGCCACAGCCAAAATATTGGGGTATGGGGAGAGATTAAAAATTATAGGGATCATGTTCTCACCAACTATTTCTTAATGATCAGTGATACTATAGTTCATGCACTTATTCATATGGCAGTGTTTTTATATAACACTAAGTTTTACAATTTCACAATATGAGTAATTTTTACCCTTCAGTACAAAATGTATATTTTTCTCACTTACGTTCCTGAGCTACAGGCATGAAGTTGGAAGATGGTGGCAGAACATGAACAAAGAAAATGTTTGTTTCTCGTAGGATGACAGTTCAGTTGAGGCTAAAATGAAAGATGAATGCAGTTACCTCAAACTAAGATAAACCCACGTCTTTCCAATGAATAGAAAAAAATTGAAACTTAGTGGGGGTTGTGCAGAAGATATGAATTAATTTCATGAAACTGCCTAAATTCACAGTTTGCACTTGAAGTAAATTTGGTCAGAAACCTATGTTTTGAGTCTGAAATAATTTTCAATGTTACTTGAAGACACCATTGAGGAATTTGAAATGATTTTTGTATTAAAACTACATATATATAAAAACTTGACTAAACTATCAATCCTTCAAACTAAGTCCACACAACTTCACTAAATGATATGTTTTAGACAATTACATAAAAAGTGGTAATTATCCTGTTATATTTTATTTATTTTTTTACATTTTTTTCAGCAAGTTCTCTAAAACTGAGGAACAATTGTATGTACTTCTTCATCAGATGATAAATCATTAGAGTTATAGTATGTCATGTATTTATTTTTTTTAGCTTGTATACTTACAAAGCTATATTTGATTACTAGGCCTACTTCAACTGTTTCTTATGAGGAAGAATAGGGTATCTGAATTTAAACTAGTTAGCATTTCTTAAAGGCTTAAGTTTTTTTATTTTTCAATTGGGATTAGTTTAGTATCATTGCAAGTGTAAGCAAGATACATATATGTATATATTTCACTGATTAGGCCAGACATAACCTAGTATTAAGAGTGCTGGAATGTGAATCTGAGGATCCATGGTTCATGTCCCTTTGCTCAAAAATCACTCCACATTTTGGGACTGTGAGTGCATTATAAGAGTGATGGTCAACTCCTACTATTCAATTAGAGTAGTCCAAAAGTTGTTGGTGAGTACTGTTGACTAGCTGCCTGCCCTCTAGTGTATCACTTCAAAATTAGGGTGACTAGTACAGATATCCATTGTGTTGCTTTGCATGACAAAAAACAACAACAAATTTTACAAATTCTGTGTATCTTTAGGTAGGTGTAGTTACCAGTGAAGTAACATGTCAAATCAGGGGAAGCATGCATTTGAAGACTCTTGCTTATACAAGTAGAACATTGCCCAATGGTATCTAAAATGGAACAGCTTTGAGGAATTTTGCAACTTTGCTACAAAACTATTTCAATTGAAAACTATGTCCATAGACGTATAAAAATCCAAAATTTGTTTGGGCAAGTCTCACCTAACCCTAACCACAGTAGAGACAACAGTAAAGATCAGTGCCACAACCAGAATGCACTATCACAATTTGCTCTTCCAGCCCCTGCATACCAGATCCGTGACTAGTCAGATTATTCCTCTTCAAGAAAACTTGACAACAGAAATCAAAGAAGCAGAAAATCTGTGGGCAATGAATGTTGCAGGCAAGGACTTTTCATTTGCTAAATGTGATGATGTTAGTCAACCTTTCCTTCAGATATTCAACTGTTCACTCACCATCAGTTTTGGAAAATGGGGATTAACAAAGATGTTGTATGTTTTTTCAGATAGCCTACGACCCCCTGCTAAAGAAACTGGTGAATCCAGGATATACCATATTGCATGATAAAACCACCACTGATCAAGATGTAAAGCATATTGATGGGCTTATTAGAAACTGGTCAAAAATCCAAAATCAGATTCCAGGGGATACCTTGGGGCTTTCTATTTGGTAGTATCAAAAGAAAGTATGCATAAAAAATCATGCATTTCCTAAAAACAGAAATAGCTATTCCTCCGAGGCTTTTTATAAGGTTATTAAGTGATTTGGAATGAGATCAATGATGTCTCGAAGGAAGCTGACTGTGAAGGTCTTCTTTACTTCATTCCCAGCAACCTTCGTGCCATACATAATGCATTCAGAGCTAGCCTAGATGTATCCAGAAAACCTTATCTACAATCTATATAGGCTTTTCAAAAAGATGCCTTGCAAAATAGAAGATTTCCAATAAGTGAACTTGAGACATGTGAATAGCATGTAGATGACCCTAGTACTAGCACTGGATTGTATCAATGATAAATGGTATGCCACAAATAAATATTTCCTAATACCACTCAGAATAGGCCAGGAAGGACAAGACAGAATAACAATTTTCAAAAAATGAAAAGTAACAGAACATACACCAATTACTTGCCTCTATAAAAATTCTACCAGCACTCTTCTGCTGTGTTCGTGAGAACAGAAATAAGAGGTTACCATGTGAAAATATAACACAATATCTTCTGTATACTTCTGTATTTTGTTGTCTTTTGTAGTTAATGTGACTTTTATTTGCCCTAATTTTTAAACAGTTGCCTCATATTATCCATATATTTTTCACTAGATTTCCTTATTTTATGCCCAGAATCTGCAATCACTTCTGAATCCTAATCTGATTTTCCTAAAGAAATAATCATTATACAATTAGGGTGGACTTTTCAGCTGAGAATAAAAATGTTTTATAAAATATCAAAGACATGTTTATTCTGACTATAATTTTATCAGCATGTGGGATTTATTTATATGTTCATACTGAGGGTACATTTATAACTTAAAATTTTTTCTGTGAAATTACCTTAGTTACTTGAAAAATCCAAACATAACACAGACTCTGAGCTAACCATAATCAATGGTCTTCTATGGTTTTATTCTCACAATATTCAGTAGCACAGTTTCTTTTCCTGAAAATGTCATTTTCATCAACAGTACTCTTAGGGATTAAAAAGTTTTGAAATTTTCACACCAAAAATAGATTTTACTGGTGAAAGTTATTGTTTAAAGGCATATTGGACTGAATTAATGAATAAATATTTCATATCAAGTTAACAAGTATTAGTTGAAAATGTAAATTAAATAATTGCTGACAAACAAACTAAAACAAATGTAATTTTAACACTTTGCACAATCACCTTATTCCTGCATCAGATTTTAAACATTCTGAACACAGACATTTTAAACAAAGAACCCAACATAAACAAATGAAGAATCAAGGAATCCATCTTAATTGAACAAAACAACCCTACTCTAAACCAACACCCCGGGGTGCCAAGATACCTCTTCTAAGTTTCACAACAGTTCCGGTCATGTGACTTCTTTGTTCAATACTGTATGTATATATAATTCGTGTCTGTGTAAATTCCTTGTACCTGATGATGACAGAACCTTGTCGAAACGTTGTACATTTGCTGTCATGTTAAATTTATATTAAAGTTTTTCTTCATTACCCATTCAAACCATCTCCAAGCATTATTAGTAAAAGTTATATTGGATTATAACAAATTTTGCATAATAAAAGGTTTCACAAAGTCTGTCAAGATTCTAAACACCAAACTTATGTGTCACAAAAAATAAAATGAATGTAATACAAGTTACAGTTATGTGCCACAACACTTTATTTAAACAGTCTTACTCCATAATGCTGGTATGGTTATTATTCTACAATGTGATTTGTAAAAAATAAGGTACACTGAATTTTTAAGCCATTTTGAATTACAAAAGTATTAGAATCATTCTACCAATGAAATTGACAGAGTATTTGAACGTAGTGTTGGACCTCAGAATGAACTCCTCTTTGATCAAAACCTTGCTATGGTACTGGACCACAAGATGAACTCCTGCTTGAGCAAGGCCTTACTATGGTACTGGTTATGACACTGGACCTTAGGATGAACTGCTCTTTGATCAAGGTCTTACTATAGAACTGGTTATGACGCAAGACCTTAGGATAAACTCCTCTTTGAGCAAGGCCTTACTATAGAACTGGTTATGACACTGGACCTTAGGATGAACTGTTCTTTGATCAAGCCTTACTACCTACAAGTAATTAACACTATAACCATTGTGACATTATCTTATTTTAGTAGTAATAGAGCTAACCTGTTGATTTCTACCAACAGTTCTTTGTTAGATAGTATTACAGCTGTTGTTTATGTGATTGAGAAGTTATTGATTGACAACTTATATGTATAACTCAATAACATCTCGATGGTTAGGTTTATTCATTTCAGTAAGAAAACATTTACTGTATAATTACTATACAAGAACAAGCTAACTTTATAAATGTGTTACGTTTATAGTGTTTTAGTTGTTTTTAACTCGCCACAGTGAATCTATATTTATATAGATAATGAAGACTGAATTCTTCATCAGACACACTGATTAACCCAGTAGTTAACATGTCAGACTGTAGGTGTGAGGTCTTGTTGTTCACATCCTGTTACTTTTGGAAAAAAAATCATGCATGGCTCTTTAGGGCCTGGCTATGTCTGCATTATAAGAGTGATGGTCAAATCTCACTATAGGATTAGAGTAGCCCATAAATTGGGTGGTGGGTGTTGTTGACTAGTTACCTTCCCTCTAGTCTAACACTTCAAAATTAGGAATGGATAGTACTCTAGAGTAGCTTTGTGCAAATTTCAACAAAACAAAACACTGTTTAAAATACTAAAACTAAATTTGATGGCCAGTCCATCATCTACTTGACCACTTATATTGAATTAAAACCAGTATAACTGATGAAAATAGGTAAACTGGATAACAGATTGGACATCATATTCATTTTTAGCATTTATAAAAATGAATTATTGCATTTGCACACTTATAAAGTTTTATATATTATATAGTTGTACCTTTTGTTTTTTTCTTCCTACATCATCATCTCTAATGCTTATCACTTGTAACCATGAGTTTCAACTGGTAAATATTTGAATTATTTTTTTGCACATACTATCTTTGCATTTTTAAATCTGTTTACTAGCTATTGTGATATGCTAACAATGAAAATATCAGGATATTTTTGAAATTGCTTCTGTGAACAGGACTGGTCTTTTAAAGATATCTTGTTAACCATTCTGTTGCCCATTGGAAGTATAAGTTGAAAGTGACAATTTCTAGCGTATCCAGAAATTTAAGTTTAAACTTCCTTTGCAAAAATAAGAAAAGTTATAGCATTTTTTTTTCTTGTGTAATCTCCTGAGTAGTTTTTTCATAAACTTGAGATAGATGAGACATTTTTATTGGTACAGTTTTTGTGATATATTACATATTTTACTTTTTATAACTCTAGGTAAAATAACTGTCATCAACGTCCTTTATTTCTGTAAACAATAAATTACTTAAAGTTATTAAACTAAATAAAAAAAAGTTACCGTATTAGTGGTATTACATGATTTCAAACAAACACAACTTAGTAAATAACAGAGGTATTTACTGTAATATGAACAGTTTAAAAGACTCGGGTTAGGTACATTTATATCAATAGTTACATTCTGTTTGAGAAAAGTTCTTCAGAATTTAAAAGACTCAGGCTTGGCCCATTTATATCAATAGTTACACTCTGTTTGAGAAAAGTTCTTCGGAATTTAAAAGATTCAGGTTTGGTCCATTTATATCAGTAGTTACACTCTGTTTGAGAAAAGTTCATCACAATTTAAAAGAATCAGGTTTGGTCCATTTATATCAATAGTTACTGTTACGACAGTGAGGGTCACGTGACGAATATTCTAGAAGATTCTCTAGTGCGTTACGACAGCGGGGTCACGTGACGAGTATTCTAGAAGATTCGCTAGTGTGTTGCGACAGCGTTGCGTCAAATGACGCTGGTAGCACGTGTTAAGAGTCTTAGAAGTTTCTAGAACAGGCAGTATTATCGTATATAAGTGCGCTAGACAGTGAGAGAGACAGACGGAGTCGAAGCAGTAGAGGGAGGCAGAGACGAAGCAGGCAGAGAGAAAGAAAGACAGCGATTACGGTCGGCGGGAACTGAGGATAGCAGACACAGAGATCGGAACTATAGTTTGCGGGGACGG